TTGATTCAACTATCCAATAAAATCGAGAACACTATCAATTTTTTTAATTTTTTTTTCAGTTTTGCACATCAATATTCCATCATCATGTTTTTTTATAGACACAAAATTTTCAGTTTTGCACCAAAAAAATAATTCATTTTTTTCAAAAAAAAAAAATATTTGGTTTAGGTTTTAAGAATTCACTTTTCAGAAAATTATTTTTCATTCTCCGTATTTTTTTTTTGTTTTCACTGAATTTTTTTCATGTTTTAAGCATTTTTTTTTAAAATTTTGTGGACACACCTAACATAAATACACTCTAAAAGTATAATGTTTGTGAAAATTATTTTTAAAAAATTCACTAAATGCTAAAAATATAAAAATTTTGTATATTTTTCGTATTTTGTGTATTTATTAATTTTTTAAAATAATTTTTGACAAAGATTTTATTGTTTAGATACATCTAAGTAAGGTGCATCTAAAAAAGTAAAAAAATTAATTAAAATTTTAAAAATATTCACTAAAAATAAAAAAAATACAAAAAACAAAAACTCAATTTTTAGAAAATTGAAATCAAACACACTGATTAATTTTTTTTTTTTTTTTTACTTTTTTCAATTTGAAAATTGATGTTTTAAAGTTTTGAAAATCAAAATAAATGTCAAATTATCATATTACCTTTATAGATAATCATAAATAATGAACAAACTTTATTTGAAGAGTAATTTCGACGATTAAAAATTTATTGGGATTTAAAGATTTAAAAAATCTTAGTTAAGACTTAGGCCTCGTTTGGCAAGTAGCTATTTTAGCCTAAAAGTCAAAAAGTTACTAAATAATTCAAAAAGCCTATAACTCATACCTAAAAGTCAAATATTTCATTTTTCTCTACTTTTTGCACATCTTTTCGTAAAAAGTCAAAAAGTCATCCCAAACATATTTTTTTACTTCATATTTTAACCAAAAAGTCAAAAAGTTGCTAAAATAGCCTCTTCCCAAACGAGGCCTTAATACAATATAAGTTCATAAATTAAAACCTGTGTGTAAATGCCGCTAGATTAAAATTGTTATCTTGACAATTAATAATTAAAATTATGCTTTGTTATAGAAAAATGATATAATTCTAATACTTCACTATTTTAAAATAAAAATATATAAATTTTAAAAACCTGTCACATTAGTCTTTGAATGAGAAATAATTAAAAAAATTTCAAAAACATAATAAACAGTTTACATAAAATTTATTTAAATATATAATTATGGTTAGACTTAATTTTTTAAATAAACACTATACTCTATAAATTTTAAAGGTCCAGCTTGTCTTAAGTTGAGATCAAAACTAGACCCGTCCAGTTCGGCTCATGGGGTTTATTTTTTGGGTTCGTTTTGATAATTCGAATCGTTTAATGTGTAGAAATCGTCGAGTACTACATGCTTGTAAAAAATTACGTTGATCGGATATCAATAGCTATGTGATCAAATCAGTTTTGTATAAAAAAAATGGACGGTGAAAAAATTAACGGTTGATAAAAAAAAATTTGTTTTGTCACATAAGCTATGGATATCGATCAACGTGATTTTTTACAGACATATAAGTACTCACAGTTCTACACATTAAACAATTCAAATTATTCAAAAACGAGACTGTTGGCTTTTTGGCTTTTCGAAGGGGTATTTTTGTGAATTGTTGATCTGCCAGCAAGGATCAATCAGTCGCTTAAGAAATTGTGATTTGCCAACCAAATTATCAGACGATGTTTTTTATGTTCTTTTCAAGCCTCAATGAAGAGACTTTACATGGTGCGGCTTGATCACTTAGGAGAAGTTATATAGAAATAACAGTAATATTGAAGAACAATTGAAGTATTCATAAAATGAACCTTACAATGTCCCCGGAAACATCAGCCTCAGAGCAGATATTACAACAGCAATCTACTTGAATTCTACTTGAAGCTACTGCCTATGAACTCGAAGTGCCAGTGCGGGTATTTTAAAGTGCATGGTTATTTAAAGAACAGGTATTTAAAAGATTTGGAAATGTAGAAAGACTGGAAAAGAAAATATTATGAAGTAAATGACTGATTTGTATGATCTTGAGTCCGTCCTTTTTTTCGGGGCTTGCCCCTGCTATTTATTACTCGTTAGTGATGACCTGTCGAACTTGCAACTTCCGAACGTTCGGAAATCTGCTTCCTCCCATGATCGCTGACATGCTTCCTTACAAGTAGCTCCATTACGCCCATTACTGGCAGTTAAGTTTTCCCTTCTTGTACTTGAATTTTGAATATGCAGTAACCGCGTTGAAGATATTGTCATCTGACAGTCCGTTATTGATTTAGTTTGTTACTTAGATCATTGTGAGGACCAATATTTATTTGCACGTGTACGATTCGGGATTAATAGGCTTGAATAACCTTCCTTTATTACCCCTTACTCTGCCACGTGTCGAACTGTAACTGGGCTTTTACAAAATATGTAGCCAACATTACCCCGCGGCACTATATACCCAATACGTGCGTGATATTTAGTGCTGATTACAGTTTTCCCGCGCCTCCTAGATCGTGTATGAGTCAAATTTCTGGAAGTACAACCGTCATCCATTGTTGATCATTTGGCATTAAACCTCGTTGAAACATCCCAATACCTTAGTATTCGAACAGGTGCTATCGGCCTGCATCAAACTTCCAACTTTACTACTGATCAAGCCATATGAAAGAGCCTTTGTAGTGATGTTTATTCCTGCCTCGACAAGAATCTCCAACGCACTTATTAGGTCACCTTTACCGCCCTTCTCGTATTCAGGTAATGGAGCTTTTGCAGATTATAAACCTTTGACTACCGGAACACACCTTGCCTTCAATCCCTTGGTTTACAAACTGTACAGAACACAAAAGAGTTCTTCCCCTAAGCTCCCTTTGTATTTTGACCAAATTACTCCAAGCCTTTTTGCTTCGACAAGTTGCAAATTATGGACTTAGGAAAACTCTTTCTTCACAGACCTCTGCATGGAGATGGAAACTGACTTAAACCTTCTTCACCCTCTGGGGGCTTCTGGCTGCTAAAGCTTGCGTCAAACTCCTGGAGACTTATGATTTAAGGCCAGCGAATCAATCACCATTTTTTGTTGAGTTCACGACCCCTTGGAGTTTACCTTCTACGCTCGAAAGGCTCCAGTTGGGTCTACCTTACGTGCCCATTGATTCTCTCGACGTAGGCTTTGGAAGAGACTCATGCTTGTGGCTTTTGGCTATACTTCTTACCATTGTCCTACAAAGTAAGCACCCTGCGCCCTGGCCGATCCAGAAGAAAGCACAAGGTATACCCCTTCATTCTTAGCAGAAGGCGCAAGGATTTGTTCACTTCTGATTGCGCTTGATTACAATTAATGCCTTTGTTCCTTCTGCTCCGTTTGCCATCTCCCATAATAGCAAGGCATCCACACCCTCTTCTCATCTTCTTGAGATTAGAAACCACCTACTCCCTCCCGCTTTGTCTTCTGAAGCAGCAGCCATCTACTCTCTTTCCCATCTTCCGAAGCAGGTATCGATCTTCTCCTTCTCCTTCTCCCATTCTTTCCTGGACAGAGAACACTAAGGACGTTTGCCTCTTCCAATGGACAAAGTTTTTCCACCCTTACCAACCTCCGTTTCACCCCCTTTCCAGCCGAGCCGAAAGCAAGCTCAACTTTTTGCTTGCCGGCTTTTCTCCCCCACCTGCCCTTTCAATGTTCATTGAGGATGGACCCATTCCTCTTTAAGGAACTTTCAATGGCTTTGTTGATGTCCTGACTTAGGGCGTCATGTCCTTCAACCCTTATTTGCCCCAAGCAAGAGCTTCATTTGTTTTTGGACCAACTTCCCAGGTGCTCCTCTACTTGCATAAGGAAAATTTCTAAGATCCCACCATCCCCAATTTTCCCTCCTCTCCTTTTTTTT